ATAATTGCGTCACGATGCATGAACATGGGGTTGTCCAGTTATTACTTGGAATGGTTAGTTCGCCCGACTCAGGATTGCAAGAGGCAGCCGCCGGAACGATTGGGAACATTAGACGGTTAGCGCTAGCCTGTGAGAAGGCGAGATTGTCGTAAATTTCAGGTGTAATTAAGAGCAAGATCCATGTTGTATAAGTCCCTATATGTTGTTACCTTAATTATAAATAATCGGTTTTTGTGTCGTCAATTTAGAAATTGAGAAGGTGTGGCACATGTACGCGGTTATTGTTATCTTCCGTCAAAGTACACCTTGTGTTCCAAAGTTATCATCTATCCAAGTGTGCCAAACACTAGTTCGGCTGTGTACTTCAAAATTCTAAGTTGCTAGCTCGGCCTCAGCGCATGGAGTTACTTTCAGCTGACTATCATTCTAGGGCAATGTCGTGTGACGTAATATTTTTAGATTGATACACCGCTTCCTGATCCAACAGAGATGGAGGAGTCACTTCCAAAGACGAATAGAACTGATATCGTGCAAATTCCTGTCGGCCTTCGTTGCACTGGACTCCTATTATCGCGAATACAGGAAGATAGTCCTCATCTTAGGGACATCGTCGTCATTTCATCTTCAGCATTTGCGAACGAAAACGTATCTCCGCCAAGTTCTATTGAAGCATTCAACAGAAAGCGAGCATTGTCGTCAGAACCATTGAAAATGTTGCAGAGTGATTTATCAAAAAAAGGGAATAGCCGGAAACCGGGTGCCATTGACACCAGTTTCAACTTTGCATCTCAATCCTATCCAGGAGTAATTTCGCAACGAGCTCTGCAGTCTCAATGCACTTCACCGCCGCCAGCGGTTCCACCATCTCCCGCCTACCTCAAGCAATCCTTCTCCGTATCACCGCCGACAAGTCCACAACCTTCTTGCTCAACTGCGGGGCTATCCCCAAGAACATCTTCAATGACATCTCTGACAGCGAAATCCGTAGAGAAGATGAATAAGTTGAAAGAAGAAGTAAAATCTGAGTTTAAAAGTTCGGTTTCGATACCTCCTTCCCCTCGATTGCCGAGCTCTGTAAAATCTCTTCGAGACAAATTCGAACAATTCTCGTGCCAGCCTCAGTCAGCCGGGGCTAGGAAATCTTACATAGTTTCGCCCTCCTCACCAAGGAAACTTTATCCGTCAAAAAAATTCTCGCCGACCGAAATATCGACCCCAGTTTTATTGGAAACTACAAATCCACAGTTAATTGAAAGATCTCTTCCAGCTATTATTCCTCATCAATCTTCCTTTCACCAGTCAACATCTTCCAATTCGCCGACGGCGAGCGAGCGTAAACGCGATAGTGTCTATTCATCCGATCCCGATTCCCCATCCTCCATCCCCACTCATACTCCCTTTCAACCCGCGAGAGCCGAATCCACGATATATACAGTGCGACAACCTACTTCAGTCCATCACACGTCATGTGTTTCGGAAGCTCCTCAGAAGGTAGCAGGGTCGTCTCCAGCCGTTGGGCCGAGTTCCCTTCAATCTCCTGTGTCCTTGCTTCCGTCGGAAAATACGGTTCTTCAACCCCTAGTTAAACAGTCTCAATCTCCTGCGACGCTCACAGAAACTGTAACCGATGCGGACGATAATGAAGACTTCGCAAGCCGGAAATTTCAGTTGTATGCGAGGAAAAGAGGGTCGTCATCCTCGTCTTCCCTTCCTGATCTTGCATTTTTGTCTGCAAGTATTGCTGATCTGCAAAATCTAACGTCCGAGGAGCGGCAATCACTTGATGTACGTTACCTGATATATTGATGCAATGATTGAAACTCACAGTGTTATTTTCCAAGAGTTCACGCAGTGACAATCAATCCATTCGTTCGACGTCCACGGCTTCGGCATTTCCAGACTCATGGGCTTCCCGTATGTCCCCAGCCATTCTGAGTGAATTGTCATCTGAGGAGATTCGGCGTCAAGAAGTATGCTGCTTTCTTCATCCGAAGTAGCGTTTTTTGTCTGACCTTCGGTTATTAGGCAATCAATGAATTAGTAGAAACAGAATACTCTTTTAGCTACGATATGCAAATGGTCCACGATTGCTTTTTGGAACCGATGAAAAGCAACGGTTTATTATCGGAACAAGAAATAGATGAAGTTTTTTCAAATTGGACTGAAATGATGATTGTCTCTAAGAATCTATATTCGGCATTACTGGCCAGAGTTAACGAGGAGTATCCCATTGTACAGTTCATCGGTGACGTATTGTTGAACGAGGTCTGAAACGATAATATCTAAGTTCCGCCCGCAATCGCTAAAAAATGACTCATTTAGATCAGTCGATTGAAATGTTTCGCTTCATTTTGCGGTTTGGCGCAATATGGAGTCGCGAAGCTGAAAGAAAAGCAAAAAATAGATCAGAATTTGTGGGAATTCTTGCATGTAAGGCAAATTACCTTACTGCGCTCTTTGCTTGGTGGCTCACTGTTATCAATAGGAATCAAGGAGGATCCCACATTTTGCCAAATTATCAATTGAAACATTTCTATTGAAACCGATGCAAAGAGTGACAAAAATGGTAGGTTGAGCTATCAATTCGGATTCTGGCTGTAGAATAACCTTCCTTCTCCGCACGTGTAACTCAGCCTTTGCTCATCAAAGCGATACTGAAACACACACCGCAACATCATCCCGACTACGCTAATATCTTTGCAGCCGATCGTATGATTGCTGATGTTCTAAATTATATCAATAATCGATGCGGTGAGATTCAGACCAAGCGACACAATGAGCAATTGATGAAGTCACTCGACCGCGACTTGGCGAAGGTGCGGGATCCTTTAAAATCAACGTTTTCGTAGGTTCCAGTCATGCATAACATTGTCGACCAACTGCAGGATCTTGGCTTCTCTTTGTTCGACTATAATAACTCGAGGGAGCTTATCTTCTTCTCTGACATCTTGTATCAGTCTCGAAAATGTACCGCCATTCTGTTTAGCGACCTACTTATTTTGGCTTCTTGCAATAAGCTTGCCGACAAAGAAAGATACAACCTAATTAGGTGGTTCAACTTATGGTGCCTAGAAATAAAAAATATAGGAAACTTAGAAACTGTTTCTGGCTCTGACAGTTCCCGTAGTTCTCTATCTGAAGGAACTGTAGGGAGACGAGTGTCGCGCACTTTCCAAAATTTTATGTTGGGTAGGGCACTGGTTTTTTTGATATTCTTCTTTATGTGATTTTAACTCCTATATTATAAGATCCCGACGAATTAGCACGGTCAATACACTTTTACGACATCCCGACTGACTCTCTGATTGAAATGCGGCTTCAAACATCTGAAGAAAAACGGAAATTTGCTGATCGGTTGAGCGCAGCTATTTGTTTTCTGCATAAAGCTTCCCGATTTGAATTATTCAACTTGCACTCATTAAATCATTATCCATTCCAAACCTGGAAATGTGCAACGTCGTTCGGCGGCCTTGTGTTATTAGGGTCGGATCAAGCCATGTGGTACGGTCGGGAAGACAGTCTTCAAAATCAAGCTTTACCAGGTCATCGCTCCTCCTCGCTTCAAAATCGATTGTCCTAAAGTCGCCTAACCCGTTTTTCTCATCACAGGTCGATTAAGCGAGTTCTCTTCAATCAAAGAGTCCGTTGAACAAATTGAGATTGTTGAACACTTAGACCTGTGTGTTACACTTCAAGGTGGGTATATTCTGTTTTTATATCTTTTTGACAATATGGGCGTTGTTGGTATCTAACGAACAAACGTTGCCCCGGCTGAAGGCAGAAAATATAAGATATTCCTTTACAACCTCTCAGTACTTCGTCGGTCTCTAGCGGAAAAAAGCACAATGATGAACTTGAAGCATTCCTCCCAACAGCTCATTCAAAAACTCAAGAAATCAAAGAACACTCAATTTTTCGCTACAGGAAAGATGTTTGACGAGGTCGACGTTTTAGTCTCCGTGGGCTCTAAACGATTCATGTTGTATCAATGGAAACATAACCACCGCTCATTTGAAAAGCGACAGGCAAGTTTACTTATATTCACTGCTTTCTTTTCTTTCGCAACTGTATTACTGAAACCTATTCAACGCAGGAATTTTACGTACCCAGGGGAAATACCTGTAATTCGATTGTTTTTCGCAAAACTCAAATTTTAGCCGCTTTAGGAAATCACTTCACAATCATTGACGCGACGTCATCAATCGTGCAAGGTTGGTCATTATTCCCAGCGATACCTGAACGAGTCTAACAATTTGAACGACGTTAGAGATTGCTGACCCAGATATAGTGTTACAAAAAGTATCCAATTTGGATGAAAGCATGGCATTAGAGTGTTTTCAGCTTGGCAAAGGTACTCAAAGTTTATCGCAATCGCTCATTTGCTTGGTGGCTAACACATATTGCAATAATTATTACATTTCCGTTCTTATTCAAGATGAGTTCCTTTTGTGTTATCGAGGTAACTTTGTTGAATGCTCCCTTCCCTTATTCGTATGATCTCACCACATTGTTTAGAAATTGGCTGTGTGGTCAATTCCGCTGGAAGACAGATTAGACCGGCTTTTCTGCGGTGGCAAAGTCCTGCAAAACAAGTGCATTATGAAAAGCCGTATTTGTATGTGTATACGCTTAAAGCTGTTGAAATTTGGCAGGTGGAGGACACCCAACTGGTTCAACTCATACCAGTTCCGGCTATGACGGTTCTCAACCGCCACTTGAAATTACTTGGAGTTGGCGTCGCGGTATCTACGAACTCGCCGTTGAATATGAAAGCTACCAATGAAACGGCGTGGTTGGGCATTGTGAGAGAAAAAGCGGACAAATGACCAGATTATATATCAATGATATGTAAATGATTGACCGATCTGGGTGCACTAGACAATAAATTAGCATGCGTTGATGCAATTCTCAACCTATACATAAAAAAATTTCTGGTTTTATTCAGTTCCGCGTTTCAACGTCATTCCTCAAAGGTATGTGTTTGAAAACATTACACTATCCGACAACGGCAAGATTCGAACTTGCGCGCCCAAAGGGCAACAGCTTAGCAGGCTGTCGCGTTAACCACTCCGCCACGTTGTCTGCTTCCCCTGTTTCAGAATTGTTAAAAGATATCATAATTAATCAGATCATTAAAAGTAGATTCTTCTGAGTGCTCTGCTCGGCCTCTAAAAAGTCAGCATTTTTCTTACCATCTGAATCCGCTGAGAATACAGAGGGGCTGGGCGATTTCATTCATAACCGCAAATCTTGTAGATTGGGTGATCGCCATTGTAGTATTTAAGAACTTTCAAGGCCGTTTCAAACAGAGAAACTAGCATTCACTTATATAATTTCCGGTGTCCTTGTTGCCCGAGCAATCTCAATCATGCGTATCAGATATAACCTCGCTTGTCGAAAGTGGTATTATAATCCTCAAAATAAATAAACATCAGAAGACCTTCGACAAATATGTCGCAATCAAGGGAATTATTTGTGCGCATTAATTTTTCGCAAGGAAGTTAATGAAACAGGTTCGTCGTTTTGAGTACATATTTTCCGATACACAATGATTATTCAATCAAGTAGTAGAGAATGCTCATAAATTGATATCACTCTATGACTTCACCAACCGTAGACGAATTCTAAATTCCAACAGCACGCAGCAAAAATAACGATGGCTATTACTTTTCAATATACCGACAGCTTGACGCCGACTGCAAATTAGAGAAAGGTACCAGATATTTCAGGAAATAACGAAATACTAGTCATATCTGGCATTGGTATCATACTCGAAATTTGCATTATATTTGTAAGGATTAACGAATACCCAATCACAAAATACATCGCACCTGGTAATAACATCGAACACCACTTAAAGAGCAAATATCTTCGATACCCATTTTTTCGTTACATGCAGTCATGATATTATGGTACTCACGATCTTTCTTCGATATCGAAAATAATAAATGTGGTACTTCACTCACTAATTTCATCACATGAAAAAGGCATCCATAATAGAATCATTCTTACTAACATATACCGTCAATCAACCCGAGTGTAAGGGGCGCAAAAGTGCGACGTGGTTCAGTCTTTTCGAGTGTCGCCTGATGCCAAAGTTCTAACGTATTTAACAACAGATGATCAGTCAAAATACCTCGGTCCGTATTGACGATTGTAAATTGATTGGTTGGCATAATATCTGTTGACAACATGTTGCTGAAAAGGACCTTCAGGACATCCCAGGTGAGGGCACCCGCTCCCCCCTGCGCAGATATTTCGAGGAGATACATCGGGAGATGTCAATAAATCCAGAAACATCTCTACATGCAGGACAAAACCTGAAGAGTTGTTGTATGGAAACAGAAAGAGACAGAATTACTGATTTCGAGCAGAATGTCGACTGTTTGTGAGAAAAAAATCGGAATTTGCAGTTCAAATGACTATATATACATTGCCATATTTAATGCACCTAACATGCGTTACGTTTTCCGGATTGGTATTTTGATATTCATAACACATTCCTAGTTTTAATGTTTTGCATGGATATTTAAAATTTGAGAAAGTGAATAGGCAATGATTACGTATCAGATGTTACGACTATAATTTCTTTAATCACCTTATATCAAAAATGAAACCCAAAATTTATGTGCAAACGAATTGCACCACTCTTCTATATATCGTCAATTGACAGACAAAACATCCATATCATCGGAATCATGATACTGAAAGTATTTGGTTTCATACTGTATGGGGGTTTAGATATGTACGCTGGTTTTGAAGGAATTTTAATTCCATGGAACCGAATGCTTATCGAATGGGAGGGTTCTTGATTGAGCTGTTTGAAGGAATAGCGAGCCCAGAAACGATAAAAATGGCGAGGTTCTCATTGGGTTTAGGGGACTAAAGGGTAAGACGAGGAGTTAGACAGTTTGTGTACATTACAGGACAATAGCTAAGTACTGATAGTTCTGGTTTTGTGCTTTTTGGAGGCTGGGAATGCATTTGCGGATACTTTCTGGAAGTGTCAGTGTTCATTTTACCCTGAGTTGAACAGTGTACCGTTTTAACATTGTGTATGATGTGTGTGACGTGTGTATCTCGTTTGTATGTCTGATGAACTAATTGTTAAGATGAGCAAAATCAGAATGTTTCTTTAGAAGAATATTGTAACCTATTTAACTATACTAAAAATAAAAAGATAAAAGTAAATTCTTCAATTCTCAACATTAATTTCATTCCATCTTTAACAAGTGCTTTGTTATGAATATTCAGCGTGGCTTAACTCATCAAACTTCCGAAATGTCAAGGTTTCGGATTACATAAATTCATGATTTGAGCAGTGCCGGTTTGTAACATAGCGATCGGTATTCTGTTGGAAAACCACTGAGTCTCTACTCCTGATTATATTGATGTACTTTAGAATGAAGGGAGAAGGGTTACTTAATTTTGTTGACTATTTACTGTTCTGAGGTTGGTTTTTGTTCATGCTTTATGTCTATTGACAATCTAAAAATTGCTATTGAAGAATAAACCTCAACTGATTTGGTTCAGTATTCATAATATATTCATATTACCTCAACAAAAATACTCTTGACAACGCTTATTTAAAGTTTAATGAAACATCTGACTTGCTGTCTCATACACAACCATGATCGGGTGATATCCCTAGGACGTCTCGTGGGTTATCTTTGCGACCTCCCAGTGTCCTCCCCTCTAGATGTCCTCAGGATGTCCTCGCGCCGCGATGATTTACAGCACACGTCCCGGCGACATCCTCACCAAAGATGTCTGCAGGATATTTTTGCCTTGGAATGTCTCTGTGACATCTTGCCGGAATATCTCCAACATATCCCACGAGACATCCTAGGGACATCTCCGGCACTATCCGCAGGACGTTCTGGGTAAGGACCTCCTGGTGAAATCTCTGCTACTTAGTGTGTTTCACCTGATAAAAAGAATTTTCTTCAGTAATTAAGCATGATTGTCCCCCCGGAAGTCGCGTCAAATGATATCTCAGCGGCATTTCCATGATAACATGTCCTCCGTGGACGAGATTTCAGGATGCCGGCACGATATCTAGATATAATATGACTTAAACATATCCACATCCAAAACATTTTGGCAGCAAATTGCAGTGTCCTTATGTTCAGCCTTGTCATATTTTCATTAGTAGTATAAACTCAATATTACTTTAGATTTGAGAATACTGATTCGAAAGCACAGAAATGTAATTTTAGTAACAAACGGCCAAACCCAACCCTGAACTCACCCTGAAGATCAAAAGCGCATTGAGGTATAATCATTTGTTGGTAAACATACACCACAAGACCCATTTTATGCCCCACTAGCCTCGCATGCCCATTTCTGAGCGAATTATTGGGATCAAACCATGTCAAAAGTACTTTACTTAGCGATTATCTTAATTTTAATGATAAGATTTGTAAGCCCAAATTGCGCATTATAACAATGCATTACTGAACTGAGCTTATCCTGTATGATTGGCCAACAACATGGAATTCCTTTTCCTGAGAAGATTTTATGTAAGTTCAATCCTTTTAGAAATTCCCCACAGTTCTAGCAAAATCGATTTCGTACTATGTCAACTCGAGTTCAAAGAATTGGTTTTTAACTAGCGTAAGTACCAATTAAAAGATTGATCGTGACGGGAACACGATAGTTCAAATTGACAGGCCACTTCGATTAAAATGAGACAATTTCAGTGGTGAAGTATGCCGCTCATGCTTAGAAAATAATCCTGATGTCGGTTGACATTTATTCCGTTGACATAATTATGATTATAGAGATATTCATTGCGTATGGGATAAACCTCGGTGCATGGCGCATTCGAGGGATTAGCCAGGCAGACGGTCTATTTATTACTAAATTTATACGCCGAAATAATCCATTGACAGCAATAAATCGGTGAAAAAATTTAAATATTTTAGAACTATGATCGTTGGCGAGTTAAACGAATGGTATAAAACGCAGATTATAAGATTCCTGTTCATTTTTCATTTGTCGGCAAGCATATGTTCTCCTATCCACTTTATAAAGGATTAGGTGAGATTAGCACTAATAAATTACGTCTATGTTACCAATCCTTCTATTTATTTATGGATACCGTGAATATGATATGTACAATATAGGTTTAATATATGTCTTCTTGCCGTATCGCTATGGAATTTTCTTGTAATAAAAGTTTAATATCTGTGGAAAGCTGTTACCCCATTGTCGTGTAGACTTTTACATTTAAACCCAACATATCTAAAAGTCTACGCGACATATTTCGGTGGAGAGAATCTGCGCATACATGGTGATTATACGAGCCACGAAGTGGCGACAGCAATTGTATTGATTGAAGCTTGAGTGGACTGTTTTGCGGTAGCTTCACTGATTCCCTGACAAATGTATCCCTGTACCTTCTCCGAAATTCCGAGCTCTGTGTACTGTCTCCGGAGACCCTCCAGGCGGCGCTCTCGTGATGATTTAGTCTGATCATTGTTGCGCTTGGGTAAAGAATGGTCTGCTCTGTCAGTGGAAACCGAATCGGGTTGTCGATGGTCATATGAAGGAGCTGGGAATACCACACTGACGATGGCCAAATTGGGGCGATCACGGTTGCTGTGGCCTGTTCGTCCGCAATCTTCTTTAGGATCCGACCCTGAGCACATAAGGATGCGGGACAATCCATGCGTTGTGATCCTTCCATGGAATCTTGAAGGCAGTTTATTTTATGAAGAAACATCGATGTATAATTAACTATGGGCAAAAAAAAGATAATAGCATCGCTCTACTCGACAAAGGAATAAAACTATTGAAATTAAAGCCTACCTTTCTTAAACTTCCTTATCCGCTTACGACGTTTCACATCAGCTCTGTTTATTTACTCGCCGCATGATAGCTGATAAAGTCACTGCTGTGTCGAACCCGACAACGTGGCGGAGTGGTTAACGCGACAGCCTGCTAAGCTGTTGCCCTTTGGGCGCGCAAGTTCGAATCTTGCCGTTGTCGAAACTTTTTGCATTTCATGTCTCAAAATGTAGCCACCATGTTATCCTGCCCTTCTGCCCATCTGAGGAATTGAACAATGTCACTGTTGA